GGGGGGGGGGGGGGGGGGGGGGGGGGGAGGGGGAGGGGGGAGGGAGGGAGGGAGGGAGGAAAGAAGGAAGATTGAAAGATTGGAGCTTGGCACCAGACAGGATCTTCTATGTGGGCTCCTTTGGTTCATGAACTTATTGACTTATGTGATGCAACCAATTGATTGTCATGTAGAATTCTATTATGTAATGCACTTTTGGAAATATTGTGCCATAAGAACATAAGAGCCATACTAGACATTCATTTCCCAAGCCTAAAGGCAGAACTTGAGGGCAGTGGCCTTCATCTACTCTTTCCCTGGGAATAGGAATTGGAGACATTGTACAAGCAGTATAATAATTTTTACGATTCATATCTTTTTTCTCATGAATATGTATAATTTTCAAATCCATCATTGTATATCTATTTTTTCTTCCAATTAGTTGGCCATTCATATAAGATAAGATAAAATGATATCCTCTTGTCTTCATCCCTGTATCCTGGGCTAGCAATGCTTTCAGTTCCTAGATTCAGCTAAGAGGTTCCAGCCACATGTGACTCATTTTGATTGCCTGCCTGCCTGCCTCTCCATAGATTGTCCTGGCATTTGGGAATTACTTGAACAGCAGCAAACGGGGAGCAGCTTATGGATTCCGGTTGCAGAGCCTTGATGCGGTAGGTGGGGAGGAGGCATAGAATCCTTAGGACCTTCTTCTAGAAGCAAGACATGGCCAAATAATAGGGTGTGAACTTGAAAGTTGGTTGTGGCCACAAATCAGGAAGCAGCTAAGAATGAGAGTAAGGTGCAGGAAGATGCTGATTTCCAATTATGCATCAGCCACAAGGAAATACCCTCCCCCCAAAGACTGTGTCCGTGAGCATTTCAGAACAGACTTCCACAATAGTGTAGGTTATTGTGCTTTCAAATAATCTTTCCCAAGCTACTATGGTGTGACCCGTTCAGTGTTTCCTTACTTTGGGTCCCCTGATGATGTTAAACTTATCAGGAATGATAATAGTCCAAGGACCATGTCTTCACAATGTCAGAGTTATGAACATATATTACATGACCCAAACCCATGGGTATTAAGCAAATGTGAGAAGAAAATTGCAGCAACAGGAAGGACAGGTATTCTGTAACAGCTTGGTATCTTAGTTTTTTCCTAGCCTGACTGCTATTTCTCTCTGTAGCTTCTGGACATGAAATCAACAGACCGGAAACAGACACTACTTCATTATATAGTGCGAGTGATCCAAGAGAAATATCCTGATCTCCTGAACTTTTCCAGTGATCTGCACTTCCTGGACAAAGCAGGGACAGGTATGGAGTGGTGGGTCACGGGCAAGAAGAGAGCAGTGAGTCACCTTCCTGGTAAAAGGTAGAGCGCTGCTCTTTCTCTTTGCCCATGGAAAATATAGGATGGCAATAGGAAGAAGAGCACCTGCCCTACAAAAATTGAATCTAAAGTCTAAGTGAGGTGGAAGTAATTCATACTGGCTGTTCTTGCCTCACCTCTCCATGCTTTTTCCTCCCCACCTTCGTAGTGTCACTGGACAGCGTGCTTCAAGATGTGAGAAGCCTACAGCGGGGCATGGAGCTAGCACGCAAAGAGTTCATGCGCCAGGATGACAGTATCGTACTTAAGGATTTCCTAAAGACCAACACAGAGATGATGGAAAAGCTTCAGGCAGACAGTAAAACTGCGCAGGTAGGGAGAAAGTGAGGCTTTGTCTAAAAGGGTATCACAGCAAATGGGAACTAAAGACTTGGGCTTGGAAGAGAATTTATCAGCATGTTGGGAGATCACAACTGTGTTTTTCTCCAGAACCCATTTATGAATTCTCATACTATAAATCATGTTTTTGAGTGGCTGTTTGTAAACTCTATAACATCCATAGACCTAAAAAGAGAAAATAAAGTTTGTGATTGACACAATGGCTCTTACCAATATGTGTGAGTCAGTGGTTGTTTTTGCTTGCTCCATAGGAGGCATATGAGTCAACAGTGGAGTACTTTGGGGAGAACCCCAAGACTACCCCCCCAACTATGTTCTTCCCCACGTTTGTGCGCTTTATCAAAGCGTACCAGGTAAAAATCCTGTTTCTAATCTATTGTAGTCTAATGATTGGAGGAGACTGTTTGGGTTCACCTCTTGCCTGAACCATGGATTCTCAAGATGGCTGCTCTCTTCTATTTCCTGTGTCACTTTTGCAATATGAAGATTGTTAAAGTAGTTTGCTCTGTTGAAGTTTTGTGAAATTTGGTGAGAAGATGGATAGAAGGAGTCTTGAATTCTTGATATATGCTAAATGAGTTTTTCTTAACCTAAAACCTCATTGGTCATCCAGGCTGGGAGTTATGAAATACATAATTCCGTTATACCTGGAGAGTACCACATCGGAGAAAGCTGTACAAAATAAATGTAAGATTGACTGATATAGAAATTAATGAAATAATTATGATAATTGTTCAGGTATGAGTTAATATATTCGGGGGGGAGGTCAGCTAAGTCCATCAGTTCTCTTCCAAATTGTTTAGATGTCTGAAACTATTAAGACATTGTCTACCCTTGAAACTGCCCCATTTTCCTTGTATCATTCTGTAGATGGCATTTGCTGCTAATAATTTCTAATGCTTTGATAGGAATTATTATTGGAGACAAAACTGTCTTATGGTAAAGGATCATTGATGATGTTGATAGACAATTGCATGGAATATTAGCTCATAAGCAAAGATGTGGCAGTAGTTTCTCCAATAATAGCAGCTCATTCTTATATCTTAATTCCTTCTAGTATTAAAAGAGAGAGGTTTCTGCATATACCATATTTCTCAGTATGCATGCATATCTGATAAGTTTATACATTAAAAGAAATGTATCAATTACAGACTTCTCATAATTCTTGGTAAGGAGCTTCCTTCATTACTAAGTTGGTTGAAGCTCTAGGATCTGCAGAAGAGAACACTGATGGCCCATACAAAACTATGCCCTTAAGGTCTTGGGCAAAGCAAATCTCCTCCTTGGTTCATCTTACCATGAATGGTAGATTTGTTTCCACACTATGAAAGCAAATTGACCACAATCTGATATTCATTGTGTTCTGTCAGCTGTGTTAGGCCTTGATAAATCCTTGGCAGAATTCAAGCAGAGGGTCTGGAAGTTAGATATTCAGTCAGATAGGGACAACATTTCCCATCTTTATTATAATAGAATCTCCCATCCTCCTGGACTAGCTGTTTTTTTTAAGATCACGCATGCTTCAAATAGGAAGCTTTTTACTCTGGCCCGATCAATGCACTACACATCAGGGCAACAACTGAAAGATATTTCAGACTCCTACAGGTGGTCCTCATTTAATGACCACTCATTCAGCAACTGTTCAGTTACAGTGGTGCTGAACGAGTGGTACTTAAGTCCGGTCCTCGAAGTTTCAGCTCTCACAGCATCCCCACAATCACGTGATTACACTCTGGGTGTACAGGGACCAGCTTGCAATTTTGTTGCAGCATTCCACGGTCACATGATTGCCAATTGCGAGCTTGACAGCCAGGTTTTGACAAGCAAAGTCAATGGGGAAGCCAGCAGGGAAGGTCGCAAATGGCAACCACATGATGTTGTGCTTAATGACAGCACAGGATTCGCTTAACGACAGCAACCAGAAGTGCCAGAACTGGTGTCACTAAGTCACACAGTCATGTGACATCACACTTTATGACTGCGTCGCTTAGTGATGGAAATTCTGGTCCCAATTATTGTTGTTAACTGAGGACTACCTGTATATAAAATTGTATTTCTATATGTAGGGTTAAATCCATGTCCTATATTCTGCTAGTGTGCACTTTATATGCCATGATGATCAAAACTCATAATTCTAGTTATTAGAAAAGTTAATCTCCATCACGAGGAGATCACTGCTTTTCCTTCCAACTGACCAGTTCTTAGATGTAGTGAATTTTTATCTGTAGCTTTAGCTTGTAGGAATTGACCTGTGCCTCCCTCACAATTTTGATTTTTTTTTCCACTTTCATGTAATTTATACATATGCATTTTCAAGCAGTGTATATAACAACAGCCACAAGAACTACATTACTAATATTGATGGCCAAATGCGAAGGGATATCAGTTGGAAAAAATAGAGAATAATAATGTATTACTTTATTTGTGCTTCTAAGAAGATGCAGTTTCTTGAAAACAGGAATTAGGAATGGGAGAATGCATGCTATGAGCTTAAAAACCCATTTCCGTATTATATGCGGCTATTCCAATGAATGAAAAGCAGGGCTTGCAAAGGAGAAATGGACCATGATCTTTGTTGGGGAGAAAGCATCCCATTGTTTAGTAAATCAGTATTTCTCAACCTTGGCAACTTTAAGACGTGTGGACTTCAACTCCCAGAATTTTCCACCCCCAATCCTGGCTTTGGGATTTTTGGGGATTGTGGTGTCCCCTCTTTAAAGTTCCCAGGGTTGGTAAGAATAAT